AGTCTAAATCTGGAGCTGGAGTATCAATGTTTATATTCACAAAAACAAGATCGGGTATGAATATACTCTCTTGGGTTATCTATGGAGGAAATAATTACCTCCATGGGTTATCAAAGCAGAGATAAACTCCCATGGTTATCAAGCTAAAGAACAGACATCCAATTTAGAGGAAGATTCCCTCGGTAACAACAAATAAGGCCAGGACACCGTCCCTGAGCGACGGTGGCCAGGAGTACAATTCTCTAGGTATGTACCGTAGTAAGTAAAGGATAAATTCTGTAAGTAGACAAACTGCATAATGTAACTCCATAAGTCAGAATATAGACACCTTAAGTAATCAAGTCAGGAATCCTGAGGTAATGAAGGGACAGATTCCCCAGGTAACCAAATATCAGGGATTGACTACTTAGACAATCAAGTCAGAGACATATTTTATATGTAACCAAGTCAGACACTCAATAAAATTTTCCTTATAAAATGGCAATGGTCAGTAATAGTTGGTGAATAGTACCTTATTGCATTTCAAGATAAAGGTCTAAGGCAGACAGATAATGAAGTTGTACCCCCCCCCCCACACAATGAGACAACAATGGAAGTGTAGCAGCTTGCTTGATTCAAAACAAATTGATTTTCAATTGTCAGTCAGTCAGTGAACTTAAATATACTACATTATGTAGACAGATAATTTCATTAAATTTTAAATAAAATATAAAACTTTTTTAGACATGTTTAAATTTTCATTTGAAGTGCATTGCTGAGAACACATTTCCACATTTGCCTGTGCTATATAGCGTTTAAGGTAGCGAGACTATTATTTGTGTTGAAAATTACGATTTTCACATTTATTTATTAATTGATGAAATGCACTATAAACTTTCATGTGATAAAGTCAACATAACATAGAATGTCATGTAAGTTGGTTAAAATGTAGATTTTCTCATGGAACTATAAACCCCAGGAAGAACAACCACTTCGTTTCCTTTGAACTATGATAGTTGCCGCGATGACGAATGTTTATTTTGACTGTTTATTTCGTCGCATTAAAAAATAAGCTGATTTACGCAAATGAACGTTTATCTCCGACTATCGGTCATTTTCGGAGTCAATCAGGCGACTTCGGGGATCACGTGATCGAGTTGTTCCGGTTATAGCATAAAAAAACACGGAATAAGTCGGGATATCTCGACATCAAACAGCATACCAAACCCCATGTTTCGCAAACTTTCGCAACCTTATTTTTTCGAGGGTTGAAAAAAAACATGAAATAATCTAAAAACGACATTGAAAATTATGAAATCTCGCTAAAACTCCGACCCGTTGCATGATTTCCGGTACACTGAAGGTCACCCTGCAGACCGACTTGTTTGCGCATGCGTAGTTAACGAAATATTTTACTGCGCAGATATGAAATATTTTTTTCAAGTTTTCCGTTTCCAGCAAAGCGATTGATACGGGCGTAATC